AGGGGTGGGGGGGGGGGGGGGGGGACAAAAAACAAAAAGAAAACTGGCGAATCAGAATGGTGGGGATGTCATCGAGATTAAGAGAAACACCCTTCCGGACAGACTGGCCGGCCAGCCAGCGTCAGCGCAGCCATTTCAGCTGTGAAACACCGTCCACATTAAAGAAATCCTGTGGTACAGAAAGATGGGCTCCATGGGAATCAAAAGGGTTTGGGGGAAGACTGTTCGTATTCGATAGTAATTGGTCACGTTGTTTGTTTCAATTCGCAGAAAACAGAGAAACAAATAGTAATGTACACGTTACTACAAGCCCAGTGGTGCGAATGACGTCACATTCTTTTGTTTCCTTCACACTGCTTTATAACATCAAGCATTTGTTCCACAACAGTAGCTTTCCTCTGTTGTTTTTTTGCACAACACCCACTACCTGAACGCTTCATACCCTTGACACGCATTATATAACAGCAATGAACATATACATATACATATACATCAGTGTTTCCAAAGAATGAAAACATAGTTGCCGAGTACAGATACAGTACACAGCTACTGCATGTTGCGCAGGCAGGTTGGACAAAGACCGACGTCCACGCGTGACAGAAGACGCCAGCAGCCAAGAGAGTGTTTCTGTGCTGAGGCTGCCGCGCGAACTTTTTCAGCTCTGCGTGTCTGACAGGTTCCGGTCCACCTGAATCGAGCTGTAGCCAATGGAAAAGGCGTTCCCTAATAAATCAATCCCGTCATAGCCAAGCCATGGATATCGCAACGTTGGCGTAGATGCAGAAGGTATTGAAAATCTACTTTGCAACAGGGTGTTGGGGGGGGGTCGATGATGGGGCACTTTGGAGATAAATTTGTGTTATGGTAGGAATGACTGTAGTGCCCCAGACTAGAGTTCGTTTTGGATGCGGACACAATGCACAACCCACGTACCTCTAGAGCAGTCTGGCCCAAGAAATCCGGGGAAGCAATGGCACGTTCCTGAAAGACAATCGCCGTTTCCATGGCAATTGTGTGGACACTCCATAACAGAATCTACAGGGACATCAGAATAAAGATGGAATGCTTGCAATTCATAATTATTTACAATTAGGACTAACACGCAGCAGAGGATATGGTACCTCAGGCAGTGGTTAGACATAAACTGATGTTTGTGTTTACATTCATGACACAATCAAGTCAGTATTATATCTGATAACCACAAACAATTAACAAATCTGTAGCAAATCAAAGAATGTACACATGTACTTATTTCCCCTGCTATTCTAACAATGTACATTTACTTATTTCCCTTGCTGTGAAGAGAATAATCAAAAGACTCAAAACTACTTCAATTAGCCCATTTTTTTCTGTTCTCCTTGTTTTGCATTATATTGTATGAACAAGAAATCAACACCCAAGGAATACAAACAGGCAACTGCATTATTCTCTGCCATACTTCAATTAATATTTTTTGCTTGTCTGAAATTGTGCGAAATCCTATATATATATATTTTAAGGGACTTTACTGACAGATCTAATACATAATGGTGTTCACAACATTTACTGTCCTACTAAGGGAATGTTGAGCAAGGTAAATAACAACATATAACAAACAAACAACAGCTGTTGGTGCCAGCGCTTCCTGGGTGTTGGTTTATAAAATATACTTGTGAATTAACATGCCATGACGATATACAAATCTCTTTGGAGCCTAAAAATAACAGAAATTAAACAGTCTTCCAGCAGCAGAAATAACGGACTCCTTTTCTTTAATAAATTTGGGTGAACTTCCAAAAGTCTGACCCACAGTGAAATCACTGTGTATGGAGGCACAAACCGCAGTGGAATAAGCAAACTCAGCTGGATCCTGAGATGGATCCAAGTGACTATAAAACACGAAGCTGATCTCTAAACCATGGAGGGCAGCACCGCGGTGGGTCTCAGCGTGGCCGTGGCCAGCATTGCCAGAGGCCCTGGGTTCAATTCCAGGCCTGGGGTGCTGTCTGCGGGGAGCTGGCATATCCTCTCCCGGCTCACACGGATTTTCACCGGATGCTCCAGTTTTCCTTCCACATACCGATAGGTGGACTGTGGGGAAAACAGGCCCTGCTGTGAGTGTGGGCCTGTGCGTGCCCTGTGGTGGACCGGCCTCACCTGGGCCCACTGTTCCTGCCGGGGGATAGTCTCCGGCTCATGCATGACTCCGAATTGGGTCAAGAGGTGAGGAAATGGATGGATGGATGGATGGATGGACAAAACCACGGATTCTATTCGAAAGGGCAACGCAACATCCCAACAGAGCAGTTTCAAATGAGGCGAGTTAAGCGTGTAGTGATTGCCATTGTGTGTTTATGGTTGCGTTAGATGCTCGTATTGCTGTGCACAGGCCTGAGATTATGCCTCTGTCAATAATTTCATTAGATGCGAACAAAAGAAACCGCCAGAGCAACGCAAAGTTTTGACAGGGTAATAATGTCAGCCCCCCTCATGCAACGTAAATTTACTGAGAGTCTATAAATGTCTTGTCTATCACCGGTTGCTCCACAGGCTTCGGCATCCTAGATGAAGGAATTAATTATTATTTTTATTCCAGAGGCTGAAATATAACGTCACCATATCAATTACATATTTTTTTTATCAGCAGTACGAATCAGTGAGATCCACTCAATTTTTTAATTGAACTTTATGATTCAAGTGTGCAAAGAACAGTCGTAATTTCAAACATTCCTGACATGACTTTGCTTATGATTTTCAGGTTTGTTAAGAAAAAAGGGAAAGCTATGACAAAAAGAAAATGCTTTCATATGTTTTCCCTTGGTTAAAAAAATCACGATTCCTGCCTCATCAGGCAGTGTAGTAGTTTCATTTCTTAGTCGTAATGTCTACTCACAGGTCCCTCTGCAAAAGTACTCAGAAACCTGGAGCTTTTGAGAAATCTCCTTGAGGCAGTGGTGAAATCCTTTGATGTTATTACCGACTCTCATATCACAGATTTTGTAGCCTATCACAGCTGAGTTTTTTTAGACAATCCATGTGCAAATGGATGCCAGACACAGAGCAGTAGAGATGATTATGGGGAGAAATGTATGCCTGCATCTCCTATAAAGTGTCCCCTTCTGTACAGAGAACCAAAGCAAAATGGGATTTTTTTTTTTTTACCGCAGTGCCAAATTAAAATCTGGGAGAAAAACGTATCAAAGTAGGCAATTTCAAGACCTTCAATGTATTTCCACATCCACTCTGCCAATTCGGTCACATTTTATTTTGAAAAAACCCAGAGAACTTTGAAGCTGCTGAGATAAGGGGAACTAGAAGTATTTACTGTAATAGCTTAGAAGAGCTTTTCTCACAATAAAAACACTGTAGAAAAAACATGTTTAATCATGTTTTAAAATCAGACATGTATTAAACCTTACCTATGACAATGGTGTTGTAGGACACCTGCTCTGAATTTTTTCCATCATTATAGAAGGCCAAATGCCAAATTCCAGAGTCAAGGTACTGGATAAATCCTGCTTCGTGGACGCTGACAGATCGGGCTTTCCTGCTCCTGCTTTCCAACTCAATCAGGCTGCGCTTTTCTTTGGCAATCAACCTGCTGCCATCCAGCAGCTCCACAAAGTCATACTATAGCAGAAAGAAAAAAAATACAAAGAGATAAAAATGAATACCTTTCCAGGAAAATGTCACGCAGTAATTACACCCCCCCCCCAAAAAAAAACATGTTTCCACATTTCTTTCACAGCTGAAACACTGGGATCCATTCTTATTAGAAAACCGTATCCGAACAATCTGTTTCTGCAGACAAGAGAGGATTTTTCTCTGAAGCCGGAGAAAGTGTGACAGAGCTGAAGGCAGCAGAAGAGGACCCTGATGAATATGACTGGATTCTTGGGGAATGATGGCAATTAATCCCGTGAAAGACAAGGTGAACACAACCTACCACACATCTGCATGAGGACAGCGTCCTGCAAATTATATTCCTCAGTTTCAGATAGAAACAATTTTTTTTACATGAAAAAATTAAGCAACCAAGGACTGTGACATAAATTCATTTTCCATAAGACTGTGCCAAAAGAAGGAACAGAATTACAATTGGCTTCACAAGCCCAGGCCTCCATGCTGTTTGTAACCAAAAACAATTTTTCTGAAAACATTTTATAATTGCTCAGAATAAGTAAATCGTGTACTTCTTGCCATAATCATACTGCAAATATTTTGACATTAAATGAAACTGAACATTCCTTTTCCTCTTGGAAATCAAATTAATCTTTTTCTAAGCCACTTATTATTTTTCTCAGTCATTAAATTAAAAATCTTTCTCAAATTAAATGCTTTTATGCGAGTATGCAGTCATATAATTGGTATCTGCAATAAAAATGAACAAGGATGATTGTCTTTATATCTTTCACTGGAATCCCATCATTCCTGTTTTCTTTCCCCATGGATCTTCCGGGTTTTTAACTAGATATGCACAAACCTTCCTTTGATATCCCAAGCTGACATGTTGACCATGAATATTGCATCAAAAAACGTTTTCAGTCGTTCGCAACATGGTTTAATAATAAAATACAATTCAGCAGTAACGGGTTTTAAAATGTTCTAAAAATATGCTTAAAACCTTATTAAAACTATGTGAGCACTATTAACTATTAAGTCCACAGTCTTCATTATTTGAAACACTGACAATAACAGCCAGTTAAATAGTTCTGGTTTTGTAGTAGTGGCAATTTGCAAATCTGACCATTCTGACTCCAAGATTAATTTTTATGTATTTGGGGCAGTTTATTTTTTTCTGTAAATTACTCTAAATAATAATTTCATTTATAGCCTATCCCACCCACCCCTGCCTTGAAAATGTCAATGTATATTTAGCAGAAAATGTACTTATTGCAGGGATGTTGCAGATTTGTGGAGGATTCAAACAGCATACATACTGTACCACTGGGAACAGTTGTAATGGGTTTAGCTACAATGTAAATCCTAAAGTAGCTATAGAGAGGCGTACTTCAGTGGAATGTGAAAAACCATCATCTACATTTCTGATGGTAGATGTGGTCTATGTAACTGTTTTAGAAGAACACTGAAAATCTGCTTTGAACGCAGTAGTTTGTATACTGACTGAACAATTTTCCATAAATAAAATAAGACAAGTTGACTGTGGCAGGCTCTTATTTATAAAGCAGATACAGACAGAGGAATGACAGAAACATTTAAAACATTTAGCAAATTCTATTTAATAAATGCCAAAACACCATACCATCTTGTTGTATTTAAAACATATTTAATTTAACTTTACCAGTTGACTTTCTCTGTGAACATGACTAATGTTTAGAGTAATTTTTGCACCAATTCCACACTGATCCATCCACAGTCATTCTATCGATGATGTAAAATCATAAAACTGCCCACTTCTCTAAAACCTCTGAAAGAAACTTCCATCAAGGTGACCGCCTGTATCCTTATTTATCTGACTTCTAAATTAAACGCTTTTTTTCCTCTATGTTGAATGGGTTTTTGATTGCAAACAGAAGCCCATTCCTTAGAAAATTAGATTTCTTTTTTTTAAGAAAAAAAAATACAAAACCCTAAAAGCTAATTAGCAAGGGATTCAATATATCAAATGGTTATATGGAAAGAGCAAGAATCAATCAGTTAATTTCACTGGGGTCCACAGGAAAACAAGGAAATACAGACAGAAAATGAGAACAATCAGTAGACTGTTAAAACTGTGAAACCTATCAGCGGGTTTGAAGTTCAAACAGTGATTATTAGCTCGCCGATTTGTGGCCTGACTGATGTTAGTTTCAGTCTCGTTGAGACGAGAGAAGATGGTAATGAAAGAGCTAAGCTTTCATGCCTTAATTCACAAGTAAGTGTATACACCAGGATTATCTGGCGTGAAAGCTTCTACTCATCTTAATCTTACAAAGGGGAGAGTAATGATGGGGCAGTGGTGCTGTACACTGAGCCTTTTTTATTACGGCTTACGTGGTACTTTGATGGCGGAGTGTTATTGCATTAAAACGTATATAATTCACCAGCATTTCAAGGGTATCAGACATCTTACAGGGAACTTAGATTTTCAAGTTCTGAACGGTAAGGGGCATACATCTTGATATATCAGAAACCTATAAAATGTAATGAAAATAAAAGTTTCTCTACCACCATAACAAAGGATGATGAATTACAGGTATTGGAGAGAAACAACTTGAAGGTTCTCCCATTTTATTTTTTTCACTACGTTGTCAATATCCTTCATTATTTCTTTTATGCTTCCTTAAAGAAACATATTGATCCATCTGCTGCAATCAAACTGACATTTTTAGAGGGACTCACAAAAGAAATTGTGGCAGATATTGACACACATTGTATGGACAGTCACAACCAATTACTTTAGAAATGCATGGTATATCCCTTACATAAAGGGGTTCGACATCACTCAGTAAACCCTAGTGTATTTTTTAATATATAACCTTGGAAATGCAATTCCCTTGCTGTGGTATATATTGCATCTTTTTGACTGAATAAAGCGTTGTCCCTAGCATTCAATCCTCAGTTGAATTAATCTCCCTGTTAGAAAGATTATTTCTATTAGCAGTAAGAAGAATGCTAGCACTAAGACTCTAGATTCCAAGAGGTAATGAAAAGTTTTATTAGTTTTACTTATGCCATTGTTAAAAGAAGTTCTTACTCAAAATAAAAAATACAATACTAATAATATAATAAATGAAAGTATTTATTTAGAATAGTAGAATAGGGTAGAAATAATTTTTCCATATAAGTATGCAGAATATTTCCCAGAAAACATGACTCCATAGAGGTTACTGTAGTAAACCGATTTTTTAGAATGTATTTTTTCCTGTATCAAACAGATGGACTTTTCCTACCTACTGTGTGATGGTACCTTTTGATTAAACTGTAATCGCTTATTTGATACCACCTCTTGATTTCTTGAACACTCATCCTAGCAAGTGGAAATTAAGGTGTTCTAGTGGATTAACTAAACTCAGATAGCGAGTGCCAATACTGAAGCCTGAGTGTCTTTCACTCCACACAATATAATGTTGCCTCAATTCAAATCGGGCCACAGCAATTAAGATCGAACTGGTGCTCAAAGGATTTTAAGCATTTACTTAATGTTAACCCCTAAAAATGTCATTCTGGGACATCTTTCTTTCTTAGTTGGCCACCTGTGCAAAGACATTGATAAATCTAAAAATGTACAGAATGAATAAAATGCAAAAGTTAGACCTTAGTCTGCCAGGCCATTTAACAGCACATGTAGGATATTTTTAAAAATGAACAATAACAACTCTATCCTCGCGCCCCTGTGATTTTGCTATCACATTAAATTGGAGGAGACTGGTCTGTCAATTCAGATGGCATTTATCACTGCGCCGAAGTCTGTAAAAGAAACGCGGGAGGTTAAATGATGGGAAATCAAAACCTTTTTGGTGGCAGTATGGAAGCAGATTTATGTCAGTGGCACAGTGAGCGAGCCTATAAGAAGAGATCATCGCGCAATCCGCCCGCAAGCTTTTCAAGACAGCGTGGCGCTGCACCGCCTCAGACCAGCGGCAGCCACCCCACTGCCCGGCGGCTCTGTGCAGCTGTAAATGCGGGCTGCCCCTGCGCCGAGCCGGAAACACCTGCAGGCAGGTTTCATCTCCGTACCTGAGTGTGGGAAGGTGGCAGGCCTTTTCTTCCATATACTCCAATCAGCGCGTCTTTCTGGACCGAAATGTTGAATTTCAGGAACTGCGGTTGGTCAATGAAGAGCTGTGATCTCCAGAAGATCCCAGGGGGCACCTCTTGTGCTGCCCTCCGCCCTACATCCACCTCTCCGGTGTCTATGGTGTTGTTTTCTTGATAGAACACTCCAAGCTTCCCTAAGAAGAGAAAATAACAGGGGGGAATTCAAGACAGTTCAGGCAACAATTTCATGTCATTAATATGGATGCATCTATTTTCTTACACAAGTGTGAAACAAAAAAAAGAGGTCTGGCAATTATGAAAGCATATTGTAATGATGCATATTGTGTAATTGAATGTAAATTGTGCGTTGTAATGTGCTATAATACCTTGTTTCTGAAGTATACAGTACTTCAAAAACTGCACACTATTTATTTTTGTCAAAGTGAAGAATAATTGTTTTCAGGAACATACCTGTCAATACTTGAAACTGAAAATAATAATTAGCTCCAATGATCTCTGGATTTAGCATAGATCCATTTTGCAAGTCTCCCGCTGTGCAGCTGGCTTGAGAAGAATTAACTCCGAAAGGCTGAGGGTTTAATCCACCATGTTTACTTTACAGACTTAACAAGCGACTACTGCAGACTGAGATTGTAATTGGGATCCTGGTGCTTACTTATGCTAGAGTCATAAATGCCAATTTAGCACTGATGTGCGCCCGACACTAGAATGATACCACCAGAACATGACTCACAGGAGACCAGCTGAACTGTCAGCATGATTTAAAATCACTTTGGTCTGCGGTAGAGTGAAAAAAAGGCCTCACCGATAGATACCAACGTGCTAAAACAATTAATCTGGATTCTTTGCTTAAGCTGCCATTTCTGGATCAAGCTTTCTCAACTTTCTGTTAAAGATATGTTTTAATAAAGACATCACACTTAAATGCTCAAACTTTAATTAAAAAATGCATTAAGTCATTTATCCAAGTTGTAGATGTACATTTATAACATTTATAACAGAGTAAGCAGTAGTTAGGCTATAATTTACTTAAGAGCTTGCTAAAATACAGTACATTCATTTTTGAAAGTAATATATTTCTGGGGACATATTATCGATTTAAAACTGCTTGACAAAGCAGACCCTACTGACAGTGCAAATTTCTTAAGATGATGAGATTTATTTGTAGAGCTTTTCACAGGAAATAAAAAAACCTATTTATTTTTATAATTATTAACCTAATACGAGCAAACCCATGTCACATCAAACAAGTCCCAGACATTTCTGATAGCTATGGTTGGGGTCATTGTCATCTTAGACTAAAATACGGTAGTACTTTCTGTACTCTTGCCCATGGTTCTGTGATGTAGACTCTGAAGAACGATCAGCATTGCATTTGATCACTTACAGTATGGCCTTGTTGACCATTTTTGCAGGTATTTATAAATTAACTGTATGCACAGTATAAAATCAGACAATCACTTCCATGTGTTGATGATCATGGCTTTATTTCACCACCATAACTAACCTAACTTATCTACTGGGGTTTATTAATTCATATAATAGGCCATTAGTTTAGGTTTTTGGCCCCTGCTGTGTGTAATATTTTATAGTCTTTATACTGTACATTAACAATTTAAAGAAAACTCTATTGTTTACTAATAAACATTAAATACTGAAATACTTGTGAAACAGAAAAATGGATTTGCTGTTGTGCAGAATATTTTATGTTTATACTGTGTATGACCACTGAAATCTACTTCAGCTCCAGCAAACACCTAGAAGTACAGTACATATAAATGTGGAAGACAAACTGACCTGCTATGCTAAAATACCTACACATTTAAAATGAGGACTGGAATAATCTTCTCCTTAATCTACTTCACAGACCTTGTAAGGCTGTAAGTGGTGAAAATATTGTGCACTAGAATAAAACCAGCATTCACAGGCCCCAGTGATGTTTTATCGCTGCATTATATTCAATCCAGAGAAAATGAGTATTTTCTGCCTTGAGTCAAAATCATTTTTTCCCCTCACAGTGTGTCTGTTACAGATGCGTTAATAAAATACTAACAAGTTTAATGTCCACGAATATCACAAGGTACAAGCATCAATAGTGAATCACTGCAATGGTACAGATAATGATTTTTTGCATAGATAGGACATTTCTTATGGTGGTCACTTTAAACTGCACACCAAGCAACGATGTTGATTCACAATGATTTGTGTCTTAAACGTTGATAGGGCTTTGCACTATAAATATGGAATTGCTTGCATCTTTATCCATTAAATCCCAAACTGCTTCACATAAAGGGGGATCCACTTTGTCCTCCACTGAAGTGCAGTACCTACAGTACCTGGGAGATTTTATGCACTAGAAGCCCCTATACGGAGCAGATGAGGCGAAGAAGTGAGAAATAACTTCACCAAGTGAATTAAGGGACAACTGCAGGGATGCCAGACTGTACAGCTGGCTAAAATCCAGAGCAGAATTCCAAAGCAGAAATCAGCTATGACACTGGGATTAACAGTCCAACTCTTACAAACTGCTCCATTGGGATCTTTAATGACCAAGTAGTCAGGACCTTGGCTGAAGGTCTTGTCTGAAGGACAGCAACTCCTACAAGACAATTTTCCTTGTCACCATACTGTTTCACTAGAATCAGAATGTGTTAGGATAGTAAAAGTAGTAAACAGGTCCAATGATGGGTAGATCCGTAGTGATGCAAGACTTCTACACATTAATGTTGTAGTTTTTTAGGAATATCTGTACAACATATATGCATGAGACTGCCCTTACTTATAGGACTGAGTTGTGAGACACATGTTCAGTCATTAGGTTTAATTTAATTCCTTCCTAACAGGCTGAGCAATCGAAGGCAGAACTTAAGCAGGGGCTGAAAGCAGAGAAACTGATGAGAAAAGCCTCGAAGGACATGTGCAGGCTACAAGAGCAGTCTCAGAAAGTCTCTTTCTAAGTGCAGTCGTTCAGGTGAGCTGGAGAGTGATGCTGGTTCTTTGAATTTCTATGGCACTTTTCCTCCCCAAGTATCCTAAATTGCTGCACATAGGAGGGTACCCCATTAGTCGACTAACAAAGTGCAGCACACATTGTGAGTCAGCAGTCCCACCACATAGCAGCACTCGTGGAAAATGGAGAACCCGGGGGATTAATCTGACAAACAGCACCCTCTGTAGCTCTGTGCCCACTGGTTTGGAAATTCTAGTCCATAGGGAATATTGTCACCCACTGGTCCTCAAATATCAATTTAGTCATCAAACCTAGTTTCTGTTGGAAGTCTGCTTAGTTACGAATGATCTTTTTTTTTATTTGAGATTTGTGTAGCAGATCCGCTAACAATGTTCCTCCATAAATCTTATTCATTAATCAGAAAACAATGACTTCAGTGTCTTTTAACGATTCTAAATTACATCAGAGTTTTACAAATTAAGGTATTTTTTTTAAACAAAAATATGGGGGACCGCTTTTGTTCGTCCAGTTGGATCATTGTAAGAAGAAGGTTGGTGGGAAGGCTTGCGATCCGCTGGCTTGTAACCCACAACTTCTCCCCACGCAGCAGAGTGATGTTCTGTTACTTTGCTCTTATAATACCTTTGCATTCTGTGTGTTGCATGTTTCAGTGTTAATCCACACGCTGAATCACGGCATTGGCTAGAAAAGTGAGGGATGATACGCCGGGGGGGGGCAAAGGCTAAAGGGGAAACAAAATGTGACGAGATTAAGCTAGAAAGTTGAAATACTGGATAAAGCTTGCGAGAGGACAAGGTGAGCAGGGTGGTAGGCTGGGTGTGCAGCATAAATGAGTCCACATTTCAGAACTAAGGCAGAAAAAAAAAAAGGGATAGCGTTGTTACGATAAGTGTAATGTGCTAGTCCTGATCCCATAATGGAATAATGGCATACCTAATCCTACAGTATATGTAAAAAGGATTAAGCACTTCCTTTGAAACTATGGTAGAGAAATGAGCACCAGTGAATGGCCCTGTGATTTATGAGACAGACTTCAGCTGGTGCTTTTGGTTTATCCCTTTTTATACTGAAATGTGGTTGTTTTTATGCTGGGGAGAACCCACACTTCGTGCGTAGGTCTTTATTACTGGGACAGCATGGCGCTGGCAGAGTTTTACATTTGTGGGGATCTCTGGGATGTTCTCTCTTGCCCCCCCCCACCCTCCCATGTGAACGGCAATGGTATGCTATATTTGGAAACATAACTGAAAGGTTTGGCAGCGGGCAATAAAATGATAGAAATTAAAACTTTTCAAAGGAATAAAGGTGCTAACCTTGGTGTCCTAGCTTCAATATTGCGTTTAAGCCCACTCCGGCTTGAACTCTTGGCCTACCTGAAGTTTCCCCTTAATTGAAGTAGTAAAGTCATTTCTCACTCCTCTACCTGATCTGGTGTGTAGTGCACCCACAGGTACAGAATGGCTGCTAAGTCTCTCCCAAGGTAATGCTGAACTTCAGATGGTTCCCTCCTACATATCAACCGCTTGGGGATCTTTTGGGATGCAAGGTGCTACTGAATATAAATGACATTAATCATATTTGTCATATATGCTAAATTCCATTAACTATAATTAAAGTAAAGGACTGTTGGAACTGTTGTCCATCACAATTCACACATTATAGGGGAGAAACCAAAACAATGTGTTTTTTTAAAGGAAATAACAAAAGTTTCGACACTGTCTTCATCTGAATATTTGTTCATGAGATGCGGCTTCTTTAGTCCAGCTGTAAAAACTAAGTATCAGATAAGATCCCTGTTGCAGAAGAGGGAAAAAAAAACAAAGTCTAAAAGAGCTGAAAGGAGCGAGGATTGATTTGGGTATTCATTCCTTCAAAGCCACTTATACACAAGGGAGTTACTGGAGAATTGATCCTCATACTAAGACTTTCTTTCATATAAAGAAAAATATTGATGATTTCTGAAGTATTGGCTGCATAAGAACCCTTTTCACTGTTTTAATCTCCTTTAATATAAACGAAAGTTTAGTGATTATGACATTAACCAGCCACGCTCGCTCCTTTTTTTTCCACTGGAAATAAAGAATGGCTTTGAACAGCTCTTGAAAGGAAAACAGAGCTTTCTTCCAGTGTTCTCTTCCCCCGGGCCACGCATCAGCAGCTGAAATTGCAAGTTATTTTTAAAGCAGGCCCTACTGTTTCGGA